CCCGGCTCGAACGGCTGAATAAAAACAGTTCTTCGCGGACGCTTGGTCCCCCCGGATCTCCATGATACCCTCTGGCGTGGCGAATTTTAACTTCTGGTGGAAAGTGGAGTGCACCGCTCCCAACGCATGCAGCCATGTTCGCCCCATAATCACGTTGTAGGGAGAGTCCGTATCGATCACCACAAACTCGGTGTCGATGATAAAGGGACCAGTGGCAACTGGCAATGTGATTTTCCCCACGGGCAAGGCGAATGAGCCGTTGAACCCGATGAGGGGTGTCCTGACTTTGGTGAGGTCTTTGGGGCCAAGACCCATCCGTTTCAAGGTTTCGAAGTACATCACCTCCGAGGAGCTTCCTGAGTCTATCAAAATCCTCTTGACATCGAATTTCCCTATCTTCAGGGTCAAGACAAGGGCGTCGTTATGAGGGATCACCACGCCTGTCAAATCCGCGTCGGAGAACGTAATGCCAAGCTCACCCATCCTGGCCCTTTTACTTGATGGCCCCACATCACCCTCGGCTACCTTCCTTGTAAAAGCTACCCTCTTGAGGTCGGACTCGAGCTCCTTGGACGTGGGGCGCTCCAGGGACATACATGGATGACATCTATGACGTTGTCCGGCTCCTCGGTCGGGGCAAGGGCTCGTCTCTCTTCTGGCCTGGGCTCTATGTACTCTTTCAAATGTCCGTCTCGGACCAAGCTTTCCAAGAACGATTTGAACACCCTGCAGCTTTCGGTGCGATGCCCAACATCCCGGTGATAGGAACACCTAACCCTTTGATCTCGGGTGGAGGGGTCGCCCTGCATCCTGGGCGGCCATTTGAAGAACGGCTCGTGCTTGATTTTATGGAGCAACTTGAAGATGGGTTCCTTGAAAACAGTGTGAACTCCTCTGGACGAACCCCCTGGATGGGGTAGCAATCCCTTTCGGGAATATCTTCGCGCTCCTTCTCCTTTCTCTTAGATTGGAGGGCTCGGCCTTTGTTGCTTCCCATCTCGTCCTCGACCCTCGAGTACTTGTTGATCCGGGCCATCAGTTCCCCCATATCCGAGGGAGTCTTCTTGGTCAGGGATCGGTACAGGTCCGTGTCCCTCGCCAAGCCGAGCCGGAAAGATGCTGCTGCCATGACCTCCGAGCAGCCTTCTACCTCATTGACCTCTTCCCAGTATCGGATGGCGTACTGGCGAAGAGTCTCGGATTCCCTCCGTCTGAGGGTCAACAATGATCCAATGTCTTTGGGGCGCTTACTCCCCGTAATGAATCGAGCCAGGAACTGCCTAGTCAATTCCTTCCAGGACCCAATACTGTTTGGGGGAAGCGTCTCGAACCATTTCATCGCAGAGTCCCCCAAGCTCATAGGGAACACTCGGCAGAGAAACCGTTGGTCCGAATGATAGAGGGACATCATCTGCTTGTATTGCCTGATATGGGCTTCGGGGTCGGACCGCCCGTCATAGGTTTTGAACCGTGGCACGACGAACTTTCTTGAGACCTCCATCTCACTGATTTCCCTCGTGAAGGGTGTTTGTATGACTTCGTCCTCGGCCTCATCCTGGACAGTCTTACCCTTTCTCCTGGAGTCTAATCGGGCTCTGAGATCAACTTCTTCCCTGACGGGATGCCTTCTGAAGTCCCTGAGTTCATTGGTAAGCCCCTCATTTCCTGGGCGTCGTGTGGATTGGGTTGAGTCCTCCTCGGATTCATCTCCCTTCCTCCGTCTAGACAAACCTCGTCGGAGGTCGTCCAGGGCCAATGGCCTTGCTTTCCTGGAATGGTTGTCAAGATGATGTTCGCCGGCTCTGGGTCGCTTTGGGGCCCTAGAGCTTTCTACTTTGTGGTCTAGGTGGTTTCTTAGATCCTTCGTTTCCGCCTCCTGGACGGGGAGTCCACGGGAAAGGAATGAATCCCTCGACCCTCCGCCTGAGGCGGCAAACTCGTCGAGCCGGCTAAGGACGTTTACATTGTCCTTCTCCAGCTGACGTAATCTATCGCCAAATTTTTCTTCAATCACCTCTGCCAGTTGACCAGCCAAGGGGGCTGATCCCCCTGACCTGATTCCCATACTGGTTTGAGGGGTAACCCCTCTTGACCGAGTAGAGGCACTTTTTGTATTGGTGTGATCCCTCCCTCCGTGATGACAGGGAGCTTGTAACTCGAGACTCCTTTGGTGGGGTCTTTTCCCTTTCTTTCTAGTGTTCACCATGGTCACTGTTCTTTATAGAGACAAAACTAGGAAAACTAGTCGTTTCCCACAGACGACGCCAGATTGTGCGTGCAAGATCCTGCACAATATAAAAAACGAGAACAGATCTCTCCCTTGGTGAACTTCGAGTGAGCCAGTTGAGTGACCAACCACGCCGCTTGGAACAGCCTACGAGGTCCGGTGGTAACCTGGAACGGCAATGGGAGACCCTGGGTGAGCGGGAGAACGATCCAGTAAGGCTGAAAGAGGTTCCTGGAACAAAGAAGAACAAGTTAGAAGGGCGCCGGAGTGTTTTTCGGCGTATTCCCTCCGACGGTCTAGTCAGTCTTTGAGTGAGAGAGAGGAAGGAGAAAACACTGAGAAAAATGTATTGTAGTAGAGAGTTTGTTGTTGCATACCCGCTTTGCCTTTTGCAAGGAGTATTTATACCTTAAAAGCTCATGATTGCTGTCAGTGTCGTCAGTAGGTGATCATTAGGCTCAGGTAGCGTGTGCATTGATTCTGATGAGGAATGTCTTCTCTAATTAACTGCTCGGGGTCCCGAGCAATCAATGCTGGATCGTCGGGATGCCGACGGTACAATGTGCTCCTCTCGGGGAGGATGCAATAAATGCTCTGTAATAGGAGCATTTATTGCCTTTCATTTTCGAGCCTTACCGCATTGAATGCGGTCTCATCAAGGGAATGGTGCAATTAATTGTTTGCTTTCCCAAAGCGCGTGTCAGCAACAACATGCGGTTTGTTTGTCTTTGATGTGATATCATATGCCACGCGTCCATCCCCTATTGGCTGTGATCTCTGTATTCCAGTATGTTCTGACATTACTTGTGTAAGACGAGGTCATGATGAATAGCCTAGACTAGCCTAGGCTACTGACCTGTACGTCAATAGCTTATCCTGGAGTAGAGGAAGCGTCCAGGATGGGGGTACCTCTCGGCACCGAGGAAAGGCTCATCTCGGGGACCGAGGGAGGTATGCCTACCGAGGTACATATCAGACCGAGGCCACGTGTCGGTTGTAAAATATACTGAATGTATGATCCTATACGCCAGTACCTCGGGGGCGAGGACATTCGTGCGCCGATGGTGCTTGATCTTAACAAGTGTTTTAGTAAAACCGAGGACACGTGTCTTCATCATAGGGTATTTCAGAAAAGTCCCATCAATCATTATTAAAACTTTCATAATATTTCGTTCTCCATTGCCTTCATCAAATGGTACTTAAAGTAGCTCGAACAATAAACCATTAAAGTGAAGACACCACAAAATAAGACATCAGGGTCAAAGTGCTTTTTACTGAAAAAGGACAATTGAACTGAACAGAGTACCCCGATCAATAAAGCATGGGATTAAATCACTAAATAGAATAAAACTGCTCGGAGATTAGCAAATAGTGATGTGAAAATTTAACTCCCTCATGCTCGGAAGGATGCGTGTTGAAGTATGTAAATATTTATGTTTCACTTTCTCTGACGATTTAAAATTTTAAAATAAAATATGTTTTAATATTCTCAATCTTATCTAATCTATTATGTCAAAAATTTGAACTCGGATTGGAACCATTCTTATATATTTTTACACTGTTGTTAGTATGGGATTTAATATTTTATATATTTGCTACTCATGTTTTTAATATTTCAACCACTTAATATTGACATCACATTGTTACTTTCACATTATTTCACTATCCAATAAAAAAAATATCACATTACATGAAGTATTCAGATGCCTTGTAATACATTTTTTCTTCAATTCTCTTCTTCTTGCTCCTATCCCCAAAGTTAATAGAATTGGATAAATGAGTCAAATCTGTTTCGGAGAGAGAGAGAGAGAGTAGAGATCTGGTTTGCCTTTGTCACTTTGATATAAACCTAGATATGAGGCGGTTATTACCAAAATTAATAGATTTGGAAAAATAGGTCAGAGAGAGAGAGAGAGATTCTGCCTTTGTCTATCACCAAGGGTAATATAATAAAACCTGTTTATTAGATTCTTTTCATTTAAATCTTAATTCCACTACCACTTTCAGTGGGAGTGGTCATGTGTGTGTGTTCTTTCTTGTCCAAAAAAAAAAATCTTAATTCCAACCATCTTAAATTCACACATGTCCCCCAACAGTGTCTTTTTTCTGCTTTGTTATTAGTGTAGCGTTGGAAGTTGGAACTACCAACAACCACATCTTGTCGGCGACGTTGTCTACATTTGTCCCTCCCTCAGTTCAAACCTCACCAACCGACAAAAGCCCATTAGACAACTCCGTCAATATTGCACATCTAAACAAAAAAAAAAAAAAGGAAAAGTGGGGAAAGAGAAACTTCAGTTGATTGTTCATTCCTTTTTCTAATCGACTTAAAAGGTTATTTTTTTGTATGTATGTAGCAGCATTCACCTCTGCATTTGATGCACTTGACCCACCATATTAGTCTTCTCTTCTTCTGTGGCCTTACTCAAACCAGCCCCTTTGAAAACTTTCCAAGTCCAATGCTCTTCTCTTCATTTCTCTCTTCTCTTTCATTCTAATTTCCAATTCCTTCCTCAAATCACTCACAACTACGGCGAGCAAGAAGAAATTGCAGCCACCATCTTTTTGTTTGGGAGAGCTTTCCCAATTTTTTCTGTCAAGTAGCATTGCTATTAGTTCTCATCAAGTTCCTTCTGTCATGCAGTCAATGAACAGGACTACCCGTCCAAAAGTTGAGAATTTAGAAGAGAGAGAAGAAACTTATTTGTTGGATTTGCCTGATTTACTCTTGGAATGCATTCTCGAACAGCTTTCGCCAGCGGAGTTATATAGTATGGCCGCGGTATGCAAGTCACTGAGAGAGAGGTGCATCAGTGATCATTTATGGAAGAGACACATGAAACAGAAATGGAGTGGAGTGATAAGTGTTGCTGCCTTCCAAGAATGGCAATGGCACATTGCCTCGAGGAAGAGACCAACTATAATGGATTGCAAAATGGGAAAAAGATTACTTAGGTACCTTTCAAGTGCCTGTCCTAATTTTGACATTAGATCAGAGTTGGATTGCAGCCATGAGCTGAGGCGCTGTTTACCTACTGGTTCAATCATGGCTTGGTATCTTTCTCTTGAGAGTGGCAAGCTCTGGTTCCCAGGTCAGGTCTATAATCGCGAGGTAATAGGCAGGACATATTTGACTTGTACTTTTGGAATTCTGTTTCCATTAGGACTTGCTTCGTTGAAGTTCTAACTTTTATTGACAAGAATTTGTGGTAGATAACTTTTTAACTGTTTATATAGCTGCTTTACAAACCACTGAATATCATTTATCTGTTAAGGTGCAAAATGGGCATGCTGGATTTATGCTGTCATGTTATGATGCTGAACTTAGCTATGATTCTCGCACAGACACCTTCAAAGCAAGGTAATGGAAGGCTTTTCATAAAAAATCGCACTTTCTCCAGTCCAGCCTTGTGTTTGCTAGCAGTTATGATAGGAAAATTGGATGTCGAATATTGAGACCTTATGAACTAGTTCGTTAGATTGATTTCCACCTGATATGTAAGAGTAAATAAAGTTGTACAGATTTGGTTCCTGTTTTCAACTTCAATGCATTTGACATTGCAGGTACTCAGAATATGGGCGACAAACTATCGAGGACAATATAGAGTGGAATAGGTTAAGAGCGCCACCTCTCAATACTCCAGCACATGCACTTCATCTCTCTGATTGTCTAAATGACTTGAAACCAGGAGATCACATTGAAATTCAGTGGAAACTAAAGAAAGAGTTCCCTTATGGTGTGTATTCTGGATCCTTATGATGCATACTCTGTATGTTATCTTCAAAGAACAATGTTAGCATCAAAGCTTACCCTCTTTGAAATGTTGGCTTGTTTTGAATGTTTTGCACTGATACTAGGCTGTTGAATTCCAGAGTCTAAAAAACAATCATGTTAGACATGACGAATTGAGTTTATCTTTAGATCTCTCTCTCTTTTTTTCTGTGTGGTGAAAGAAAAAGATTGATTTCTACCTGATTCATTCCTACATGTCCCGCAGGTTGGTGGTATGGAGTTGTTGGCCACTTGGAATCATGTGATGGGAGCAAACTTTACTGCAAATGTGTCTGTAGTGGTAAGACAATCATCCTGTATTTGGTTACTCAGCATATCTCTCTTTTCTTCAAGATTATAGTATGGGAGAAACTGGAGATTTTATTTCCTATACCTAATTACCTAGAAATAGTTGATAGACTTACAAGTTCACTTGAAAAATAAGACAAAGAACATGTTTAAAAGCAAGTTACCGAGATACAATTTTCTTTTCTTTTCTTTTTTTTATCTTGATAATACCGTATGCATTGCAAATTGGTTAGTATGATGTTAGTATTGTGGCTAGCATGACAGCTCATTGTTTCTTTCACTTCGACACACAAGAAGATGAATAAGGAATTAAATCTATGTGTGTAAGTTTCACGTAAACTTTTTATGTTTATCAATACAAAATAAAATGATATTTTTGCTACATATCAAGGGACACAATAAAAGGCAAAAATTACTTCTGAAGTTCTAAAATATTTTTCCACTTTGTTAGAGACTTTTCTTCAATTTTCGAGTTAATACATTTTGGATAACTTTGCATAAACAATTCATAAACGTTAAGGGCCTGAAATAAGCAAGTAGAGTCTAAAATTGCATTGAGAAAATAACAATTCATAATAGGACTGCTACAAAGTTGTTGGCAAAAATTTGGTAATGCTCTCAAATATGCACCTTGAGTTTTTTCTTTTGGCTTGGTTATGCATCCATTCTCCAATATCTGCATTTCTGCTTGTTCCTTTGTCATGTGAACTCCACTGTGATCTGGATCCAAATAGCTGTTCATATTCTAGTTGTCTTAATGTCTCCTCAAGTCATCTGCCACATCGTGAGCTGCTCTGCTTGCATTGTTGCTTAATGGTCATAATTCCTTGTTTTTCAGTAACAGCGCATTGTTTTATGGGTATCGGAAGAAGAGTTTTGAGAGGTTGGGCTCATATGTTAATTCTGTTCTGCAGACAACCCCGTACTCTCCAGTCTCCAATCTATGTTCCATGCTTCATATACGAAATGCATGTGTCCTTCATATTTTGAACTTTGTCATCGAGCTCATAATGACTGAATCTTTCTTACAAATTTAAAATTACTTTTTGATTGTTGCAATTTTGTTGTAATTCTCATAATAAACTTGTACTTGCAGGCACAGTCCTAGTGGAGTTCAAGCAGTACACTCCTGGCTCACGATGGAGGCGGACGATGATAAATAGGAAGGACCATCAAGAAGCAGGCAATGAAGCATATGGCTATTATGGAGGAATCAGAAAGCTTTACACCGAAGTAGAGATCTCAATTTGGAAGCAGTTCTGGCCAATGCAGTTCTTGAAATAGTTTTCACACTACATATATCCTCTATAAAGAAACCCTTCAGCTGTAAATAAAATTCTTAGGACAAGATAGTAAGGCTTTGGTGTTTAATTTGTTTCGGTTAGATGCAGAGCCATTGAAGGTATGCAAATAAAATGTACTATAAAATGATATGTAACTCACTCACAGATGAATAAAATGAATTGTGGCCATCTTGTAGAGTAAAAACTACATTTTGTAGTCTTTACGTTTCCAATGTCCATGAGAAGGTATATCTCTCTTGTTCATTTTACCTAGTGAATGGGCGCATGTGAGGATTTTCTACAGATTGGAGAAACGATGCTTCACTGAAAATTCCTTTCACGAATGTTTTGCCATTAGAATACCAAATGAATACAGATGCAGAACTGTTCACTTTATTCTTCTCTGGGATCCTTTTTCCCTCAAAAAAGAAGGTGTATGTTTTCTCGAAAAGTAAACATTTTTCCTTCAGAAATTTCTTCCTTTGGCATGCCAAGTGAAACAGCTGAAAAGTTATCAATTGTCAACCTTACAGATTTCATATTCTAAAAGGTTAACTTCATATTAAAACTTTCAGAGATTACTGTCAGTTCTTAGTTTTTTCGCCAGGTTCACCCATTGGCTAAGATTAAGCTAGCAAAAAACTACAGATTCGAGTGTATAAAACCTCTTTGATACTTTCTTTGTGCTTCTATGACTTGGGACATGTGGAAGTTTTTATCAAACTCTTCTTCCAAGAAACATAGCTCTGCCAATTATTCAGCTGGAAGGATCTTAAAACAAACAGGAAAATGAAGCATCGGATGACTTTGACTCTCAGAAGTTGCAGGTAACAGAGAACAACCAACTTCAATGCTTGTTTGGCTTATGTTGTCCATTTTTAATCAAGCTAATACTTGATCGATCTTTTAGTTGCAATCCAGTCTATCCAGTAATCTCTTATTTGCCCATTTGGTGAACAATTTTGGAACCCACAGGTGGAGGTTTCCATTGTCTTAGCGGTTGTTATTGTGACGTCCCAAAATTCGAGTTTTCTTAATTAATCCGTTGATCATCTATCAACCCGCAAAATATCCGTAAATATTATTTAACTTAATACCACGCCGTTATATCCCATTTATCGGGATTCATAACTTAACAAAATTTGGGCAGAGTTTCCTTTATACGGGGAACTCTATCCAAAACACCACATGTAGAATCATACAACATTGATCACACCGAGTTCATTCATTTATACTCAATTGCATAGTATTAGATACTATTATAATCATCATATCTACGTATATTCATTTATAAAATGATAAATGTCTCAAAAGAGTCTTATATACATGTTTTTTTAATATAAAACAAGTTTTTGTTTACAAAAATTATACAAGACAAAAAATAAACATATAAAAGGAACTATAACGTCAAAAAAAGAGCCATAATCCGACTCTGTTGTCAAAGCAAACCTGTAGGATGGCCTTCGGTGAAAGTCTATGTGATACCTGAAAAATGTTCCAATAATGGGTAAGTCAACGCTCAATAGGGTAACTCCTATAAAAAATATCTCTTAACCCAAATGCATATAAAATATCACATGCAACAATCATTTCATGTATTCATTTAAATATATCTATTATGAACAAATGTCATAAATCATATTATGTCATGAGATGAGACTCACACAAGTAATACCAACACCGAACCCCATCTAAGGCTCCCACAACGCATGCAATGTCATGCGTATATATCTAGGTATTCCAAGCTCCTACCATTGGTGTTATGTACACTCAATAACTAATTAATTCAGTTTCTCGTGTCTTTGTGGAGCAATGATTTTTGGTATTTCACTAATGGGACACAACGCCATCAACGAATTTTTAGGACATCTCACCTGCAGCTCCGTTTTCACCGTTACACTTTTCTAGAATTGCATCGCCAGAAAGTGTATAAACCAAGTAACCGGATCTTGCACCCAAGGGAGAATCTAGCTCTTCTTACTACACTCGACACATTTATCCATTTAATTTTTTGTGCGACTCAGTCGGACCTTGATGTGACTTTCTCGAACCCACGATCCACCCACCTATGTGGTGATTGATTTCATACCATGCACATACTCTCACCTATGTCAATGCTCATGAATGTAGTGTAACTCATATATAATACAATGCAATGTACCATTACCTTCGCTATCATTTACAATGTCAATTATATAATGAATGCAATATATTGACATTTTCAACACTATTTTAATAAACAGGTAACACGACACGATTCATTTAACCCGTTTAGTTTTAAACGAGTGGTGTTGAGTAGGGTTGGATTAACAGGTAAACTACCTGTTAGACCCATTTACCTATTCGTTTAAAAATGTTATGTACACATGATGGCAAATCCACGAGTTACACATGAATCCGCTATGAATCGGAGACAAACTCGGTACAATCGGTCCAATGCAGACAAACTCAAAGCCGAATCGAAGGATTAGTGAAGGATTTCGCAGTGTCAGTCACCCATATGAAAAAAATTGAACAAACAGTTCAAAAAAAAGTAGCAGAAGGGCAAGAAACAAGAAGAAAAGTTATACCCACAAGAAAGCTGAATCAATCTATGTGAAATCCACACATTTCTTCTTCAGTTATTTTGTGAAACAGTGTTCTCATCTTCCTCGATCTGCAGTACTATGCGTCTCATCGTCCTCAACGCAACGTTGAAGGCTCAAGTCAAGAGTAGAGATCATTAGGTTTGAAATTATGGAAAGATGACTTATATATTTTATGTGGCTGTCACTAAAAAAAATTGGCTAATTTTTTAAAAATAATTATTAATTTATTATTAAATTAATTTTATTTAAACGGATAAACATGTGATAAACGGGTTGACAGGTTTCACCTGAATACTACTCGTTTATTATATGTGTCTAATGGGTCAACCAATTTACCACCCAAGCTCGTTTAGATCACACTCAAAACTGCTTAATTCGTGTCGTGTCAGACTTTGACAGTTTTAGCTACAACCTTTGTTGCCTGCCAAAACTTGGGAATAGCTATCCTCCTAGAACAAGGGGTTGTTATTTTTCCAAGGGGTTGTTATTTTTCTAGGGGCCATTCTTGGCTTACTGCGCCCTTTGAGGCACCATATACGGAGGATGCATTGGTTGTGGGACTTTCACTAGTATTGCTTGTATGGGGGGAAGTGGCGGGTACTTGTACTCTCTGGTCTGCTCAAATTGTCAAACAACCACTCTAGTGCCTGTCTGGTGTAGCCAAATTCATCTCTTATCAAGTCTCCTAGGTCATTGATGAATACAGAGACCTACTGGAAGACTTCCTTGGATAATGCCTTAATCGATGCCTTAGGGTCTGAGTCGGACTCTCGATTTGCTTGCCCCTTAGTGGAGGCAATTCCTCCTATAGGTTGGAGATGCCAAACCTTCATTCTTCAACTACTTCGTGCAATGGTGGCACCATTGGTTCTCAAAAATCAAAGTTGGTGTCGGGTTTCAAGGATAGAAATAGATTGCCCTTTTGCTTCTTTCTCTACTCCAAAGCTAGGGTAATAATGAAGTGCAAATCTGGGACTATTTCCCGAAGTCGGGGTCTACTGAGCCAATCTTTGGCTTTTCCACGATGTTTGTCTTACTGCTGCATTGGGTTGCATACTAAAAAATATATTTGACGTATTTTAGATTACGGGTGTGCCAAAGTCCGATTAGACTTAAAATCTAAACACATATAACCTCACTTATTCAAACCAGTGTGAGGTCTAAAATCATGACTATTTAGGCGATTGTAACAAAGCGTATAACACTACTTCTAGGTTCTTTTATCTGCCTTAAAGATCAATGACTTAATTAATTTCCAACTAAGTAACTTAATGGATTGAAATGTAGAAAAACAATTGCAATGAAAAGTAACATAAAGAATGACAAAAATAAATGTCCTAACTACTGTACTTGGTATTAACTGAAATGAAAGATCATCGTAGTGACATATTATAAGGTAAAATAAATTGTAAGAAAATAAGCTAAGTAAACGAGAGACTGACTCTGTGTATAGTTGTTGTGTTGATCGAGGGATCCTTCTCTATAGCCTTTCTTTTGGTTTTTTATAGGAGATGACTTTCAACTGTCGAACTATATTTCCGGTCATGATTGATATCATGATCTCTTCCCCCAATATACTCAAACGTGCACTAAACCATTCCTAATTGACAGCTCATGATACCGGATTTCCTCGTTTTTTGGGATTCATAGAGTCCAACTCTCTTCTCCGTCTTGTTGTGTCGAGGTTCTCTCTGACTTTATCTTGACTGTTAGATCTTCACCACATTATGCTCTCAAGTAATTAACCAGTTTGAACATCATTATGTTTGACCAATCACTTCAGTTCCGCATCTCTTTGGATTAGGAATTATAAATTGAATTAATTTCAAAGATTATATTGGTTGAATTTCCTTAAAAACTAATAATCCTTATTTAACAAAACCACTCTAATCTGTAGGTGGCATCATGTAATTAAAATAATGCTTTATCCTACCTAAACCAGTATAAATTATTTGTGTTTTGAATTTTTTGCTAATTCTGATACAAAAAAACTTTTTTGCTGGTTGATTTTTTTTTTTTTTTAGAATATCTTTTGAATTGCCTCGCCAAATTGAAAAAAAAAAAAAAGGTTTAACTGCTATTGTTGCCCATATTTACGTGGGTACTTAAAGTAGGTGTTGCACGGCCGATTTAACCTGGTAGGTGAAAAACAAGGTACAAGGTCTTCTCAGAAAAATAGGGAGTAGAAAGTGTGTGCCCCTCTGTGTGTGTGTGAGAGAGAGGAGGCGAAGGGGAAAGGTCGTTGGTCCGCTTCGAAGATGAACGGCGGCCCATCTGGTTTCAGTACGTAGAATTCCTGAGAATTTGCTACCGCTTCTCTTTTTCTATGCAAAATTTTTGAATATATGCATATCTGATTCTCTCTCCCGCTCTCTCTCTCTGTGTGGTTGTTGGGTGTCACAGACAATGCACC